CTCTCTCTCTCTCTCTCTCTCTCTCTCTCTCTCTCTCTCTCTCTCTCTCTCTCTCTCTCTCTCTCTCTCTCTCTCTCTCTCTGGTGATCAAATACAAATTATAAGAGGAAAAAGAACTTTCATGTGCACTTCCCTGACGTTATCGGTCCGGAATTGTAGTCATATTGTATATATGCCTATTATGCCAACATGGGTGATCCTGCTACCGTTCTTCCTTCCATTGAACATGATGCATGGTGATCAATGAATGGATATAAGCTCTCTCTGATGCGGTCTGACGAGGGTGTAGTGTGTTCAGGGGTGTAGTGTGTTCAGGGGAAGATGGGTAATATGATGTATCGTGATCAACGAATATCAATGAATGGATATAAGCTATCTCTCAGGTCCGGTATCAGTGTGATGAGGGTGCGGTGTGTTCGGGGGATGATGGGTAAGTACTACATAGGTACCTTTCTCTTCAATATAGCACCATCGGTAGGGCTTGCAAAGTGACAACTTCGATAATATCTGACTGAAGTTATGCTGTCTGGAATATAGACGTAATGTATATGGCCCGAAAGATAGCCTGAACGTCTCCTTGACCTGGCTTTCAGAGCGGGGTTTCTTCACTTGTGCTTCTGGATTTGTCTCTCTATTTGTGTCGGTGTCGGGGTCGATGTGTCGGTGACCGTCTTGCATGCTTTTCTACTCATGGCTCTCTGATGATTCTCTCTACCTATACTCTAATCGTCTTAACCTCTGATGCTCTCTGCTTGCCGGTACTTAGTTTGCCACTTGCAACTTGTGGAGTTTTTTGCTCTCCATGAATTGTGTTTTTCTATTGGGCTCTTTGCTGACCCCATCATCTACAGTTACTCCTGTTTGCTAATCCTTTGAAAATGTGGGAGCTGCCTTCTCCTCCTCCTTCCACACCTGCTGCTGTCACATATTTCAGATCCGCCATTGGTCCCACTGTTCGCGTCTTGTTGGCGCGACCCAAATAGTGAAGATCCGCCATGTCCGCCCATCTGCCTGATAGTTTCTTTGATAGCTCGCCCTGCTGGCAAATAAAATGTACGAAAAAAAGCCATAACTTTCAGTGGAGTTACAAAAACGAGTTATAATTGCACACTACTATAGGGCAAGACACAGTTCGCAATTGCACTTTGGGCACCCTACCTGGTCAGAAAGCTGGGTTGTATACATTGCCCGAACTGCAATTCGAAACTGTATCTTGGCCCATAGTGCAATTATAACTCATTTTTGTGACTCCGGTGTAGTCCCCCCTTCCCAAACGGAAAAAAAAAGAAAAAGGTTGCCCTGGTCGAAGCCTGAGGTTCTGGCTGTTGGGTGATCTGCGATCTGTGGGCGGCATGTTGTACGCTCGACGAATGGGACTAAGCAGGGCGCTAGCCAGACTTCTGAGGCCTCTGCTTTGACATGCACCGATATTCATAACCTGAGGAGCGCTACCGTCTTACCCCGAACACAACGCATCCTCGTTTTGGCAGTACCTGGCCAGAGATATAGGTTGTATTGTGACGAACCAATTTCTGTTCCGCACGATTTCCTGCGAAATGATAAGAGGGGTTTTTTTGCATCGGGGAAAGTTGGGCCAATTACGGGAGGTAGGATCGACGGGTAAATTGCATCGGTGTCCTTGTTTCTTTTTTTTTCTTTCTTGCGCCGCTGCTTCTTTTTTGGTGGTGATGGGCCAGCACTGGAAAAATCCCGAGCCGACGATTGAGTGACCACGCCTCAGCGAGTGGGAAGAATAACGGTTGCCATAGCTTCTTTCTTGTTCTGCTGGGGGCGCAGGGAATTTTGGCGCGATTTGCGCGCGGGAATTTTTGTTTTTGAAATTTTGTCTGACGGGCTCTCAGAATTATTTCTCCCTCGGAATTTCCTTCTTGCAAGTAGATCGTAGGCTAGGAATTTAGGCTTAATTTTTGCTGCGCAACGCTTGTTGCTTGCACACGCTGCGCCTTGTCAGGATTTGGGCTCTGATTTCCATCCGCGCCTTAATCCTGCGTGTAACTGTAATCTTTGGCGGGGGCAATTGTAACTGTACCCCTTCTTCTTGCTTTCGTCTTCTTTCCGCCTCTCCTTCTTGTTGTTGTTGTGTTTTGATTAGTCGATGCGCTGCATGCTCAGATCGATGCGTGGAGAGTGGCTATGTCCCCCACGCCGCGGCCTGGTCATGCAGCACGCAGGCACTTCCTCCCCTTCTTCCCCTTCTCAGTTCAGGCAATCCCGCACTCTTCGTGCATGCATGCATGTTATGAATTCAGCAAGCGCGATGATAACTCTCTTAAAAATTTTGGAAGCACGAGGTTAGCGCGATCAGTGAGGGTCGGTTAATGATCGAAGTAAGAGGTGAGTTGATGAGGGAGTTGGGCGACCCGACGAGCTGATGCCAGGTGTGCGGGGTTGACTTGTAGGCCACGATGGACTGTGGCGCACGGGCGAACCTGACGGGTGCATGCGGGCTAAGTGGGGTGACAACTTCATTGGTGGGTGCGGGACGACGGTGTCGCGCGCGGCGGTCCCGCGCCCTGATGGGGAGCGCTGAACCTCACGGTCGTGTCACGCAGGATTTATTTCTTGAAAGAACAGTAAGTCACCACTCCGACCGTGCACGCGTGCTATACCTCTCACGACGCCCTGCAACAGGTCGGGACGTCGCGAGGTACAACTCACCTCTACCCGAGGGGCTGTCACCACCCTCTGGTAGGCGTATCCTTGCTGAGCTACCGGCCCACATGCGAAGGTTTTTACATGCCTTTGTAGAGATAGGTCGGCCGAGGGCGTTTTCTCGATCGCCGTAGCATAGGTATACTCGCGGTTGAACGCCTAAGACTGACCCGTTTACCTGTCGGGCATCGGGGTGCTGATCTCCCGGACCGACTTACAATTCAGGTCGACTCGACTGACGATCTTTCACGCATACTAAATCCTATTCTATCTGAACTTATCCCGTAAATTATATATATTATATAAGTTCTTTCAAAATAGATACATTCATGACAAATATAGTTCAAAGGCTGAGACTGAAAAGGCAAGGAGATGTCTTTTACATTTTTACACAAATACAGGCAAACATCAGAATGAACAAAGTTTTGATTTTGAAAGAGAAACAATCAATAGGCTCTTGGCCTTTCAACAAACATCATAGATAAAAATAGGCTCATGGTCTGTCAAATATGCATCAAAAATAAGAGATAGGCTCATGGCCTTTCAAAGCAACAGGATACGAATAAGACTTTTTCGCCTTTGCCAATTGTCCTAATCTATTCAACATAAAAAGGGGTAAAAGTCGAAAGTCCAAACCAAATGTACAAAGGTTACGAGTCGACGAAAATGTATGAGTCGAGGCTCAGGTAAGCATAAACAATGCGAGTTGAGTGAATAGCACGTGGTTGATCGTCTTACTGACCTGCAGACAAAACAAAAGCATTTTTGCAATTCTAACAGAGTCAACCATTCATTCACTTCCACACACATTACACCTACGCTTTCAAACTTTTCAACCAGACATTCTCTTTTCGACTTAGTCATTTGAGGACCTCTTTTGATCAAACACAGACCCTTTAGACAATGACCCGAAAATGAGAAATGTCATTTAGTGCAGAGGTAGATGCAAAGTGTGGGTGTCAAAGGTGAGTGAGGGTTGAGTTGGCGAACCAACCTGTTACTATAAGGCAACAGCGTGTAGACTTGTACAGACTCATAACGAGTCTCCTTGATTAAAATGACCTGCAAATACACACACATCACAAGATCTCAACAACTCCCTCACTATCGCCCTACACGAAGTTGAGCGATGTGAACTTC